CATCCTCGGCATACACTCTTCCCAATTTTGAATCATGCAGTGTTTCCTTGCTCTCTTCTGACGACTGCCTCCTGGTCCAAGTGTAGGTTTCTCATTAGGACGATCAAGTGTTCTGGGATTTCCATTCTTCTTAGAGTCAACCAGTTTGTTGTGATTCACACAGTCCAACACCTTGCATAATCATTGAAACACAGAGAGAGACATCCCTGTGGTACTCCTTGCTTTCATCCAAGATCCATCTAACATTAACTATAATATCCCTAGTACCATGACCCCTTCTAAACCCAGGCTGGACTTCTGGCATGAATTAATTAAAATAAAATCCCTTTAAACCAAACTTTTAGTTATGGATCTCAAAATAGTCTTCCAAATATTCGAACTTTGGCCAGTATGCAGTAACTTCTTGGAAATCAGTTGACCTCCTGGTAAAACATTCTTCCATCCACTATCAAATAATGATTCCTTTCATTCCATTTACCTATACCTGGTTCATTTTAGTCTTGTTTACTCTTTCATAAAAAGGGAATTTTCCCCCCTTAAACTTTGTGATGTTGGAAGGCTTCCTGTTTAGAGCCTTCTTCCAATTGCAGTAGTCCCTGCTTTCCTCTTGTAGAAAACCTTTCAAATAAGGTATCTCCTTACAAATTACAAATATTTGTTGATTTTCTTTCACATGCAATCATAAAAAGAATATTAGACATGAAGATGCAAGGAGTGTTATCTAAAATAAAGTTGCAATTCTGCACTAAATCCATATGGGATTTTCTGGAGGACTGCTTAGAGTAAGCAATGACTGTGCTGGAAAAAAACATCAAAGCACTCTAACAACTGTCAAGGATTTATTTCAGTAGTTTGGAATGCGTTAACTTGGAAATTGAATAGGTACGTCTTATTCTAAAGCTGAGAAATCAAGAATGGAATTTCTTGGCATTGAGATAGATAAATGAAGATTATTTTTTAGCATTGGTTGTTCACAGTGAATAGAGCTGAATTTATTTGTAAATCGATAGTGATCTATATATTTTTAAAGTAGAATTTTGTAAAATAGTGTTCTTGAAATTTTACTTTCTTTGTGAATAAATTTACATATTTTCATGTTACACATATCTGAAAATTACATTCCAACAGTTGACTTGTGGTGTTGGAGAAAATGTTGTTGTTTTTAAGTGTCGTTGATCAAGTTGTAAATGATTCATAGTGTCCCTATGAATGAAAGACCTTAACAGGTATAACTCTAATCGTTTCTCTAAGTTCATAGAGTTTCCTGAGACAAGCTATTTCAAAAGTGGATGCCACTCCTGCTTCTAAGCCTGTTTCAATTTGGGAGCTCCACCAAACACTGAGTGAACATTATCACATTTGACATATCAGTGTCACAGTGTTTACCATCACAGCAAACAAGAGTTACCTCTGTACACCAAATTAACAGAACAGTGTTATACAACATAGAAGAATGTTTGGCTGAAAACAATTAAAACCAGGCCCAATAGCTGCAGGCCTGAGGGTCCAAATGCCTTATTTTTTAATTAAATTTTATTTTA